CTTAAGCCCAAGAGTTGGAGGTTGCTGTCAGCAGTGATGCCACAGGACTCTACTGGGCAACATAGCGAAATCTGTCTCAAAAAAAAAAAAAAAAACAAAAAAACCCAAAAAAGTGACATAGACCTGTTAGAGCTGCTGTGGGGCTTAAATGAGTTAACACATGTATAAAGTGCTTAGGTACCTGGTCTATAGTAAGCACTATTGATGTGGCCTTCCCTTATTTTAAATTGTCATTTGAGTGGCACTGATATTTTCACCAGTACTTTCACTCAAAGTACTTACTAGGTACTTAAAATTTGTTCTTAAAATACTAATTTTTAAAACATATATGTTTTAACACTATCCTAAGCAATGATAGTTACAGAATCTACTTAAATACATAACTAATAAAACATAAAATGTGTCTCTCTCCCCTTTTCTCTCCTTCATGAGAAGGACCCACGTCCAGCTCTCTTTGGACGTACTCTAAATTTTCTCTTTGTTCTTCCTAAATAAAATCTCTGTGTTACCCAGGAAAAAAAAAAAAAAAACCAAACATAACATGGTTATGAATACTTGATGCAGAGCACAGCAGTGGCAGGAGACCTGATTTTGCTCCAGGCCTAGCCCATTCCACACCCTAGTCCCTAGCCCACAGAGCCCTGGCTGTTTGTGCAGAGCAGCAGGGGATGTCCTGTTCTTTCTCCTTTGCTTGGAGACACCCTCTTTTGGCCCATTTTCCTCAACCTTCCCCATATGTTTAGAGTCCTGGGGTCTCACACTCGTGACTCAGTCACCACATCTGTCCCCCTAGCCCTCTCCCTGTTCCCTAGGCTTAGTCCTGTGTCCCTGGGTCCCCCAGGATCTTCACTTCTCTTTACACCTGTGTGAAGGGGACTGTCTTAGTGGTCATGCCACATCTGCCCCTTCTCTCACTCTCCCTGGGTAGGCCCTGCTGTGGCCTGCTCCTGCGTACCTCCCAGACACAAGTCCTGCCTCCCCCTTACCACCTGGGCGGCCTGTGCATCCACTTGCCTCACCCCACTGGAAGCCTCCCTTGGTCCATGCTTCATTGCCTGGCTCCCATCGGGTGCGAACCTTTCCCTCTTCCTCATTTCTCCCTTCCCTCCTTTTCTTTTCCCCATCCCTCTGCCCCACCCCTCCCTCCTCTTCCTAGAATCCTGAGTATTCAAAGTGGCCTTGTCTCATGGACTTTCTCCCTTCCCTTGCAGCTCCTGGCTCAGGCCAAGATGAGAAGCTGTTCAGAGTAGCTGCTGTCTCTGCGACACCTGGGCATCCTGGGCAGCCCAGTTGGTAAGTCAGGAGGTGGGAAGGTTAGGCCTCCACAGTGAGATCCGGGGAGGCTTGACAGGGCCAACACCTGTTATCCCATTTCCCATTTTGAGAACTGAGGCTGGAAGGCAGAGGGCAAGGCCTCCCCTCCTCCCCAGCTTGCCAAGAACCTCCCAGCAGGGATTTGAAGGGGAAGGGAAGGTGTCCCAGGGGATATGTGTTTGCTTATTAGATTTCCCTCCTGGCCTGGTGAGTTTTGTTCTCTTTCTCATTCCCAGGCTCTAGTCATGATTATTATATTCTCTTTTAAATTGTATTTATTTATTTGGAAAATGGTACAAATTAAAAAAGATACAGAAGTATGTAGTGTCTATTGTCTTCTGAGCCACCAATTCTCTTCCCCATAGGTGGTTTCTTGTATATCCATCCAGAGTATTCTGTGTATATCTTTGAGTATATATAGTATATGTTTTTTCTTTAACCTAGCTGTTCCCATAACACTGTTCTGTTTTTCCATTTAACGGTAAATCTTTAATATCATTTTATATGAACTGTAGAATCTGTCTAAACACATTTTAGTTGGGGTCATAATAAAGTTCTAGATTAACCCGGGAAGAATTGACATCTTTATATAATAGTGCGAGCCATTATATCTAAAAACATTGAGTGTACTTCTGTTTCTGTCTTCCTTTGGGTCCTTTGAATAGCCTTTTAAAAATACTACTTTTTTTTTTTTGAGACAGAGCCTCAAGCTGTCACCCTGGGTAGAGTGCTGTGGTATCACTGCTGACAGCAACCTCCAACTCTTGGGCTCAAGTGAGTCTCCTGCTTTCGCCTCCCAAGTAGCTGGGACTACAGGTGCCCACCACAACACCTGGTATTTTTTTTTTGGTTGCCATAAAAATATTACTATTTCTTAAATTCACATAGTTAGGCTCAGCGCCTGTGGCTCAAGCGGCTAAGGCACCAGCCACATACACCTGAGCTGGTGGGTTGGAATCCAGCCTGGACT